ATCGTAAACACCCACTAAGAATCATTGATAATTACTTATTATCCAGTATTTTTAATACTGAAAATAAGTAATTATCAATGATTCTTAGTATGATATTTCTATAAGAGTTGCGCGGTTTTTGCTGCAAATTTGGCACCAATTGTCCGAGAGCAAGATCTGTCGCCAAAACCGTAGCCTAATGTAGACACAGATGGCTATGGTTTTGCTGTGGGTTTTTTATCAAATTTGCTGCCAATCTGCGCGCAGTCTGCGCTCAATTTGCTTACTGGGTATACTATCTGCTATACTACCCTAAGGGCCGGTTTTTCCAACCTCTTGCTAAGCTAACTAACAGTTAACTCATACGTCTGTCTTTGTTTCTCCTTTAAATTAGGTAGAAACAGACATAAGATTTAACTGTTAGTTAGCTTAGCAAGAGGTTGGATAAACCGATCCTAAGGGTCGGTTTATCCAACCTCTTGCTAAGCTAACTAATAGTTAAATCTTATGTCTGTTTCTACCTAATTTAAAGGAGAAACAAAGACAGACGAATGAGTTAACTGTTAGTTAGCTTAGCAAGAGGTTGGAAAAACCGACCCTAACTCTACTCGATTTATCGGACAGCATTGAGTTGTCATAAATCATGAAAATATTAGATGCTTGTGCCTATCATATTTCTCGGCCCTAATGAAACTAACTCGTACTTACTACAACTCGAATTATCGTAAACAGCCAAACTCAACCTCCCAAAGGACATTCATGAACTCGCTTTTTTGGAAACCCCAACTGTAGTTGATATTATATGTAAATTTGAAGAACTCCAAGATCTCTAGTTGAACTTTCCCGATCTTTATGAAAATTGATACCTCAGTCGATTATTGCTCGCTAGGTGGTAATGGATTCTTTCCGAGGCCATAACAAGATGGATGGATGGCACAGAACCGCCGCCATTTTCTCGCATATAACCGGAAACCTCATGCAATGCAAGTTCGAAGCCTCAGTTAGCAATCTAGTTTAGTATAGACATCTGTACCCTAGTCCAATCGAATACGCTATTATTTGTGTTAGATTGCAGAGGTATTTATATGTTTAAAACGAGTGTGATGGACGATACGTTTATGAAATCGACGATTATAATTGAAGGATTGAAAGAAGAACAAGAAACGATTGATTTAAGCTCGAGTTCAGACGCTAGTGAGGTTGTTTGGTTTGATGACAATCAAATTCATAAATCAACGAACACAGAAAGACATTTCTCTTCTAATTATATCAATGCTAATAACGTACTTGATGATATGACCAAGACCGATATTAAGGCAGAAAAGTTATCGTCGTCGCAACACGACATCACTTCGCAACCTGTTTTTAAGGTTATGTTTCGTGATGAAAATATCTCACGGTACGAATTATAATACGTTTTTGTTTACAAGGGACGTGCGAAATGTTTAATTTAAGAATTACTCTAGAAAAATTTAGTTATTTATCATCATAGAAATAACGTTTCTGACGTTTATAAATTAATAGGAATAAAATTGAGACTTGTTTAATAAAAATTTAAAACAATTGCCTAATTTTGTTTTCACACATCAAAATTTACTTTTTAAAAATAAGGCAACATTTTATGATTTTGATGTCCTATGATTTATATGCAAAATAGATATTAGATGTATAAATTATGTCATAAAATAATTTATTGTAAGTTATGGAACTTTTGTTTTCAGACAATATCGGCAAAAAATAAGAGATTTCTTACATACTTTAGTGGAATCAGAATTGTTTTGTGAGGAAGATGTGAATACATCAAATTTGATATTAGAAGTTTGGGATAAAAATCACCAAGATATATTATCCATTAGTTCAAAGAGTAATATTGTGTCGTATAATGACCACAGTATAGAAAACAGTGATTTACCGTTTACAATTGATACCCAACCAAAGTTAACAAGTGATTACGATATTCCTACATACGGAAAGGTTTGTTCTCTTTATTATTCTTATATATTATATGTATAAATATATATTATATATATGTGTTAGTATATATTATATATGTAGCGATAAGTATATATTATATGTATGTATTAGTTCTTTTTTATTTTATAATAATTATTCAGTAACTTTTTGGTAGATATACACATATATGTGTAGAGTATGTATATGTATAACATTAATAATTAATATATCTTACTCTGAAAAAAAATACAAAAATTTTATTCTTGTTTTATACTTATTATTTCTTAGAATAGCAATGCTTTATTTCAGAAATATGAGGATATGTCCGAAGACTCAGATTCTGAGACATCAAAAGATGTAGCACCAAAAATAAGTTGTTTTAATTGTGAAGGTAATCATAATCTACGAGATTGTCAGTTACCTAGAAATCAAGCAAATATTAATAAAAATCGTAAAGATCATGCTGTAAAATACATGAAATCAGGAGTACGTTACCATTTAAATGAGGAGCAAAAATTTAGTCATATTATTCCTGGTCAGTTGAGTCAAAAACTACGTGCTGCATTAGGATTAAAAGACAATGAACTACCTAAGCACATATACAGGTAAATTAACTATATAATATGTTAAATTTTGCTAAGTTATTTCATTATGTATTTTTATTGCTTGAGTTTTTATTTATGTTCTAAATTAATAGTGGTAAATTTTTCACGTTTAACTGTTTCATGCCACTTTCGATTTATAATATTTTGATATAGTAATATGAACCTTTTCCATCATTATTATAGAAATATTTATATAATATTAAAAATTATATTAAAGTAAGAAAGGGAAAGGGATTCAATTAATTTGATGAGTCAAAAAATTTTTATTCTTTGAAACGTTTTTTTTTTCTTAGAATGAGATCACTTGGCTACCCTCCAGGATGGTTAGAAGAAGTATGTTTACAACCTTCTGGATTATCACTATTTAATTCTGATGGAATAGCAGAGACTAATCCAAATGAATCACAAGAAATTACTATAGATATAAATAAAGATAAATATGATATTAAAAAAATATACGATTTTCCTGGTTTTAATGTGCCGCCTCCTCTTGGTACCATCGATGTAAGAGATTTTTACATCATATGATATGTGACACTTATAAGAATAACTACATTTCAGTTTTCTGTAACATGTTTATTAATTTCAGGAAAGTTATAAATTTTATGCACCACAAATGCATCCTATACATAGCAAGGAGACTATGTTATTATGTTTGCAAGGTAAAGAAACAGATGATGGTTATAAGCGTAAAAAATTAAAACTATCATCATCAAATGCTTCAGAAAGGATATCCTCTGCAATGGATATTGAGGATACTGAAGGTAATATATAATTATAAACCATGATTTGCATTTTTATCTTTAAATATCTGGTTTACCACTATAGATATATATTCTCTCAAGATGTTTTTGAAAAATATATATAAACAATAGATTATGTATATTACAGAAAGTAATATATTTTTGACTAATATATCGTTTTCGAATTACATCTATAAATTATGCACCTAATGGAAGGTTAAAAATAATATCTAAGATTTTATTATTTTTTAGTATGATTTTACTTCATCAAAAATCATGGAAGAAACATAGAATAGAATAATAATTATTTTTATATTAATTATACCACTAATTGATTATTAAATATCATTAAAAACTTAATTATTATACATATATATTTATGTATTTTTTCTCATGTCTTTAAAATCTAAAGGACAATTTCTTATTTTATTTAAATAGAAGTTGCTGTGGAACATATACTTGTTAATGGTCATATTGTACCACCATTACCAAAACAATTAACTTCACTGCTGCCGCCGCCACCGCCGCCATCGCCACCACCACCATTACCATTACCACCATCATTACCACCACCACCACCACCACCACCACCGCCATCACCACTACCACAAATAAATGTAGCAATAATAGAACATTCGGATTTACGATCTCAAGAATTGCTTTCTTATGATTCTGCGGTATGTCAAAAATTTTCATAAGATATTCCTTTTTTGCATTCTAATTTTTGGTTATTATATTCTTTAGGATGACACTACCTTATCCAGAGCAAACTCGCCATCTCTATCCGAATTAGAAAGCATGAAAGAACAATTACTCGTAGAACTTGAAGAAACTAGTTCACAGCCTAATCCTGATGCATCAGTTAAAAACAATTTGAATATTACATCGGAAGATAATATTCAGCTCAATCGTTCTCCTACTCTGCAAAAATCTTTAAATATGAGTCAAAATTCGGTCAAATCGGTAGACTTAGGTACACCAATATTAGAAAGTACATCTCCATATAACAAATTACCGTCATCAGAAAAGTTTTCCAAAAACATTTGCAATGTTTTAAACTTCGAAAATTTACCTGATTCAACGGGTAAGTATGAACAAATGACTGGAGTGTTGCAGAAAGTTAGAGATACTATGGCAAGAATTCATCGAACATAAATTTACAATTTATGAATAAACTAAATGATATAAATGCGCATATATGCATACATGCATTTGTATTAAAATATATAATATTTTGTAACGTTCATAAACTCTGATATTTTGATGTAAATAGAAAGATATCATTAGATACTTGTAAAAAATTTAAAGCAAATGTTTTGACATAAATATGTATACAGTTATGATTAAGAAAGTAGTGTAAAAATACATTAGCGTTTTTATAACTTAAATTTAATATATTTTTATTTTTATGTTAAAACCCTGATAGCAAAATGTCAGCAATATGCCGACAAATTGCCGGCAAAATCAATCATAGGATTGTAGCAAATTTACAACATGTACACTACACTTATGTCGGCAAAGCATGCCGAAATTAGTTGAGGGCAGAGTGCTAGCAAAAGTCGAGCAACGTGTGACGGCAAATTTACGGCAAATATCGAACAAGATGTGCCGGCTATGAACAGGCCAAAACTACCAGAGTAGAATTTGCATCGGTAATTATCCAGTTTAGCGACTTCACCTCCGATTTCGATAAAAGTAGGTTCAATCGACGCGTTTTTTTTGTTAAAGAAACAACTTTTTCCTCTGACAAAATCGTCGCTCTCTACTGCGAAGCGAGAAATTAATTGTTAAGGCTCCTGGGGAGTCGCATCATCCATCTCTTTTTAATGACGTCAGAAACAGATAATTATAAAATAAATGTGACGTGCAATCGTCTTTTCTATTTCCTAATTAGATAATTTCCTCATTATCTTGTCATATTAATTTTCCGATTATCTATTGATTTTTAGAACAAAAGGAAAGTGTACGGAGTATTTTAGAGGTGTACTTAATCGATCGCAAATGTCGTTTTGTGGATATATCTGTTTATCTCGACGTATTTTGCAGGAATTTTTAGCATGCGTTTTCTCGCTTCTGACGTCATTAAAAA